ACACTCATAGCAACTAAAACAAAAATTACACGCAGCAAAAAAACTATTTTAAGATTCAACAACGAAGCTGACTGCGTATGAGCAGACAGGTAATATACTTTCATTAGGAACCAATATATTAAGTGAATTAATTGATTCAGTTCAAAAAGTTCCTAATCCGAAAAAAGTGTATTTTCCGTTTTTAACACAATTGCTAATCGCGAGCGTATTTAGGTACCATAGGGGTAAATATAGTTGAAAATATATGGTTTTCAGATCAGATCGCTGCAAAAAAATCCAGGCAATTTTCATTAATGAATGAAAGGTATTCATGATACGCACCATTTTCAGAAGGGTGTAGGACATTTCAATTGGTGTCCAATTAATTGCCACCCAATTTTTTCCAATTCTTATTATTGATTCGAGTTAAGCGAGTAACAAAAAATTAACAGCAGAAAATTTTTGGCTTTAGAATTTTCAGCTAGGCCGGGTTAGCGTTTGGTGATTCATGACAGAGCCTTCAGCCAATGAATCTCAAAATGCAGGTATTTTTAAACCGGAACCATCTATTATGGTCATTAAAATACGTTGCTAAAGCCATCATAAACGCTAATCAATCAATTTAAATTAATTGGTAAATGACAAACATGGAGAAACCAATTCAATTAATTGAAATAAATTTCAAGTATTTGACATTTTTTCTCACAGTTGATTTTCCCAACCCCTGGTTTTCAGCCGTAAGTAACGTGTAAATTATCTTGATCAATTACATATTCAACTCAATCATTGTTGATAAAACTTTTATGATGAGTACAAAAAATTTAGGCCACACATTTTATAGCTACTAGCGTGTAACGCACCTCCGGTAATTCTAATTTTTGACAATTTTTTTTTTAAAAATCGCATATTATGGAGACTTGCGTGTACCACACCTCGGGTGCTTCGAGTTTTCATAAAATTATTTAAAAAATTCAGATATTGGAAATAAAATCTGCATCCTTTGAGTGTACTCTGACAGCACCCAATTACAGGAATAGTAATTTCGAAGGTTGTTAAAATTTTTACTCAAATGTATTTATTTATACTTTATAAAATCATAAAATTCTGTGAAGTTTTTTGAAACATTTTAAAATGACATAAGAACACGCCACATCTGGAAACTAAAACCAAACGAGCAGTCGCATTGGAATGCAAAATTTTTAACTTTTGAGAGTATTATCACAGTACCCGACTACAGCGTTGGGAATTTCAACTTTTGAGAAACTTCAAACTCAAACATTCAAAACAAATATTTTGAAAAAACCATAAAAAACGTCATATCTCAAAAACACAAAGATTTGAGCAGTCATATTTGGAGTTAAGATTCACGTCCTCTGTGAGTACTTTGACAGCCCCCAACTGCAGGGTTAAGAATTTCAATTTAAAAAAAAATAACTTTTCTCTTTGAAAAGTTTTTGAAAAATCACAAAAAACGTCATATCTGGGAAACTTAAGATTTGAGCAACCACAATTGTAGGCAAAATTTGCAAACCTTGAGAGTACTTCGACACTCCCCAATTGCTGGGTTGAGAGCTTCGAGAGCTTCAAAATTTGAAAAAAAAAAACATTTTTGTTTGACAAAATCACTCAAAACGTCATATCCACAAAACTACAAGGATTTGTGCCGCCAGTTTTGGAGGCCAAGTTAGCAAATCCTGGAAGAGCAATGTAAAAGCCTCAATTTAGAGGTTTGAACTTCAAATTTTGTTAAACTGAATATAACTAACTTCTTTGAACAATTTTAAGAAACAAGACATAGCAAACGTCACATCTCGGAAATTAAGAGCATTTGAACCCTCGCATTTGAACGCAAGATTCGCAACCGTTGAGAGTACTCTGACAGCCCCCATCTACAGTAGGAAATTCCAATTGTTTGAAAAAACTAAATTTGATTTTTTTCTATAACTTTTGAAAAAATCACAAAAAAAGTCTTCTCTGGGAAACTACACAGATTCGAGCAGTCAGGAATTTCAAATTTGAAAAAAAATAAATTGAACTTTTTTGTGAATTCGTTTAAAAAAAAAAAACGATAAAAAACCGTCATATTTCAACAATACAAAGATTTGGACCGTCACATTTTGGAGACAAGATTTGCAACCCCTGAGAGCTCTCTAACAGCCTCGCTACAAAAATTGGCATTTTGAATTTTGAACAAGAAAAAAATAAGTTTTCTTGAAAGTTTTTGAAATTATCAATAAAAACGCCATATCTCGAAAACTAAAATGATTTGGGCTGTCATTTAAGAGGAAAAAAATTCGCAGTTCCTGGTCTACCCCGACAGAGCCTCACTATAGAGATGGAAACTTCAAATTTTTGTGAAATCTTTTATATCTGAGTTCTTTGAAAAACTTTGAAAAAATCCTAAAAAACGTCATATCTCGAAAATTATAAGGATTTGAGCAGTAATTATCAGAGGCAAGATTCTTAACCCTTGAAGGTTCCCTTAGAGTTTCCAACGAGATGATGGAGACCTTCAAAATCTCCATCTTGTGGTCTGTTTTTTGAATATTTTTGAAAAAAAAATTTAAAAAAACGTCATGTCTCGAAATCTACAAGGATTTGAGAAGTGAGATTCGGAGGCAAGATTTGCACTGCCTGAGAGTACTCTGACAGCCCGCAACTACAGGGTTGGAATATCAAACTTCCTGAACTTTTTCAAACTCAAGTTTACTAATTTCAAAATTGATGAAATAGTCGTTGACATCAAACAGGAAAATCGAAAAAAAAAATCTGAACTATTGTAATGTACGATATAACTTAAGCGTGAAAAAATTCTTTCCTTAAACATGCTAAAATAATACGTTTAGCAAACTTCAACTTGGCGAGATAGTGAAGCCTGCATTCAAATATATAATAGAAAAAAAAGATAGAAAAAAATAGAACAAGAAAGATGGAAAAAGATCGAAAATGAAGCATCGAAAAAAAGACAAAAAAAAGCATAGAAAAAGAAAGATAGCAAAAAAGATCGAAAAAGAAGGATCGAAAAAATATATAAAAAATCAAAAAAGAGGATTGTAAAACAAGATAGAAAAAAAGATCAAAAAGAAGGATCTAAAAAAAGATTTAGAAAAATGATCAAAAAACAAGGATCGAAAAATATATGGAAAAAAGATCGAAAAAGAAGCATTGAAAAAAAGACAAAAAATAGAAAAACAAGATAAAGAGAAAGAAAGATTGGAGCCAACCGTTTAACAGTAGTAAAATTTTGGACTGAATCGTCGAAACATAATTGAAAGTTAAAAAATTTGAAGACGGGTAGACAGACATGATCAAATTAAATGAAAAAGCAGGTATACAGGCAGACAGACTTAGTTTGGCCTCGAAAAAAAATTATTTTAAAAATAATGACCTTGCGAAAAACTAATTGAAAAATTTTCGTAAGCATTGCATTATATGATATAGCTTAACCGTGAAAAAATTCTTTCATTAAACATGCCAAATTAATAGCTTGAACATGGGAGATAGCTGTCACACTAATTTAAATATAGTATAGGTAAGATCTGCATCCTTTTGAGGAATCGTTCACGTTTTTTCGCGTTATTTCCACGTTCGTATTTGGAGAGTGCTATTTACGTATCTTACAGCAGATGAATTTCAATTGAACTCAAAAAGTGCATATATACTCAAAATAATTATGAATGTACATCTGTAGTTAACAGAGCATACACGAAAAAACTCACCAAGACCTATATAAGTCTTCACTACGCTCATTACTCTTAAAAAACATCTTGGGTGCAACTAATTTCAACTTGATATGTGTGAAGTACAATTTCAATCTATATTGACGTTTGGTCCAAAAAAAGGTTCAAATAGCCTTTTTCCGCTTAAATTCACCTATTTGCTTGTAAATAGGCCAACTATTCTACCATTATCTCACCTAATTTTATTGTCCTGATGATAACTCACGAAGTCAACAATGAAATCAGCACATGAATTGGTTATTTAAAAAACTACTTAGCAAATATCTAAACCAAACTAGAACTTCACCATAAATCAATTTAAATCAAATCAATCTGCGCTACAAGCAATAGGCATTGTTCGAAAAAGCTTGCACGTCTTTTGCACGATCATTAGTTATATTACTACTATTACTTCTACTGCTTCTGTTAAAACTAGAAACTGCGCAATCGAGAAGAGATAATCTGTTTTTGGAAATACACGAGTCAGATTTGTGAGAGATCAGTTTTAGTTTTGGTGCTGCTGCCTGAATTAGTTTGCAAGGAGAGGGGCGGGCGGGATCTAACATGGGAACGTACGCGTAATTGTTGTTAAGGCTATTACTATTATTGACATTTGCATGAACAGTTTCTAGGGAACAGTTTGTGCAGTTAGTGTTTGTTGTCGCAGTTGTTTCGAGCCCTGCTTCATTGCTAACGTCTAATAAAGAGAGCGAGGAGCGGATTAACTCCTCTTCTCCTGTCGCCTCAACACAGTTCTCCTCTCGTCCAGCCCATTGCATCCAGGGGGGTACCTGCATCTGCGTCCCACCGCAATAGTGATGAGTAGGGGCTCTGAATACTGATGTTACTATGTTAGGAGTGGAGGTTTGGGCCGGTCCACGTACTGCTGTGTTGTTATTCTTACAGGCACTCAATTCAGGGGAAGACCCCATTGAGGAAATGGAAGAGAAGGGAAATGGTGGCGGCGGCGGCGGGGGTCTTGCGGGGTGAGGGTTGTTTCTATTCAGTTTCGTCGATTTATTCTCTGCGTGGCTTGTATTGACAATGGGTTGCGATTGGTAACTATGTGCATTGCGTCTCTTACTGCCATCCAATATGCGACGGCTATTATCCTTTTTTCCACCATTTAACTCATTGCGGTGCCAGTAGCGCTGATTGAATGTCAAGGGAGTTAGTGCACGCTGAATTAAAGCATTGTCATCACGTGCAAACGAAGTGAGTCTTTGTGGATGCACCTTGTATCTGTAAGCAGGCGCTATGGTGTCTTTTTTTGATTGACGCAAATTGTTTCTGTCTATAAAAAATGGATCAAACTGATAGAGCTTGTTTGTTTTCACCGTATTATGTAATTGTGCATTCAGCGGGCGGCTGGGTTGGACTAGCGTCTTCACCTTCTGCCTGTTTACATCAGCAACTAAACAAAGCAAACATACAATGGAGAAGGGTTAATATATTTGGAAAACACCAGTTTAATAATTAGTGGACAGGAAAGCTCAGCACGAATAATAGACGTCGCACAAGGAAAAGAATAATGGAAATTGCATGAACACATTCATATTTAACATGCTGCTTACACTTGGATTTTCATTATCAACTCCATGGTATTTCAAAATGATGAATTGAAATTCAGATCAAGTTGAAAATTGAAAACACCAGCTCACGCTGGAGAAACTGACCCCCTGAACAACAAAACAAAAAAGAGCAAGACGGAAAAACTCCAAGATACTAAAATGACATCTTAATCTCGGTCTTCCGCCAAAGTCTGTCAAATTTTCGCGTAACAGTAATATTAATTGACATCAACTTTGAGTATTGATCCCAAATATGTTGTCGAGAGGTCGAAATATTGAAGAGGGATAGGGTACAATAGTGCTGATGTATCTGTTCATATTAATGGTGCAATGGAGATTCAATTACGATCGAAAACAGTCACGTCATCACTATGACGGAAGGAAATAGCCATTTGTTTGAGAGACAGAGAGGAATTTATGATCCGCCAATAAGTTTGACGGAGATGTGTTTACAAGTGAATCATGTGATAATTAGCTGAAGGGATTGGCGTTCTATTTCTTTATTAATGAAATAGTGCAGTGGTTATGTCATTTGGGTTTTTTCCCAGGTGCTTACTTTTTGCACTATTTCTCTATCACCACGGGTAGGGAGACGTAACCTAGAAAGAAACTTCTTGATTAATAATCAGAACAGCAACGAGCTTGGGCTCCTCTATTCAAGTCCATTACATCAAAACATAGTAACAGGCTGCATTTGCTCTCCTACCTAGCTGAGCAAACATAAAGGTATATGAGATTATGAAGCGAGTTCAGTTGATAGATTAGATCACGCAATCAGCAGAGCCCACAAACTTGAGAGACATAGGCATTTCGATTGGGTAAGTGTAAAGATTACTATGCTACAAGATGGCCACGTACTTTCTGATTTTCTACCCTTTTAGCGGCTTCTAATTGCCCTAATTTTTGAAATACGGTTTCTCGACATTTTTGTGGAAAAATCGCTTAATATAGCCAATAGGCCGTTAGAAAAACTGAATGACAAAAACAGATATTATTGTTAGAAATCAGTCAGTGCTCTTCATGAAATTCTTCTTCTGAATTTAAGAGAAAAAAAACACCTCTGAAAAGTAGCACTTTTATTTGCGACTTAGTTTTGAAAAAAAAAAATAAAGTTCGTACTAATACAATTTGCTTCGCAAGTGTAAATACTGGCTAATTTACGCCTTCGAAACAAGATAACTCAAATTTTGGACCTTTCAATCTTTTCATTTCAAAGTTTCATTCCATTTTCTCGTTGAAATCAAAAATTTGCAACTTCTATGTCCCGTGACAGTAGAAGTCAATCAAACTTTTCGTGACTTTTCATTTTCTGCTGTTCGATAGTGGTGTTTGCCTTCCTTTAAACAAAGGAAAAGAAGCAAACTTAACAAGAAATCAAAAGTCAAACCGCGAAAAAAAAATTTAGCGTGAACAAATTTTGACTTCTTCCTGAAAAATCACCAAGACCTATAAGAATTTTCAATAGTTCAGGACTTAAGAAACCTCGTCCTGATTTCTTTTTCGATTTTACAAAGTGTGGCCAGCTTGATTTATCTAAAGCCAACAATATTATAAACACCTTTTGAAATTGTTATGCAAGGGTTTATACTTAAATCCACTGCGCGGGGTCGTCTGAAAAGCAAATCACTGCCAAACATCATCCAAAAGACAGAGTTAACATGCAAAACACAAAATTAGTCAAGCGCGGCATGCTTTGACGAAACAGACGCCGTTTACCATGGTTTCATACAACGAAATCATCGAAACACGAAACGAAAAAGTATCAGCGAACAAAACGCGAAAAGTTTCAAACACCTTCACAAATAATAGTTCTTTAATTAGCACAATGACATGTAAACCTGTGAAAAAATATTCCCGAAAACCTGTTTCGAATAACCTTTCCAAGCAAATATTTTGTGAGACGAGCTCTTCAATTGCTTTCAGTAACAGATTTTTTTGTGGGGAATATTTTTATTCGCATCAATCAACACTCGAGTAAGAACAAAACTCAAGATTACATGACCGACTAGATAGCTGGTACTAATCCAGGGTACTTACTGCAAGCGGCGTGAAAAACAGAACAATTACTTGGCTTTAATCAAAAACTGAAATAGATTCCTGGTAGACTTAGAATGTCGAGGACCGGTTTTTTAGCAGACCGGTTTTTTAGTATAAAATAAATTTAGGTCTTTTAGCAGACTTTGAGTGACAGCTTTGTAGAGGCAGCAAAAATAGACGCATAATTGATTGACTGAAGTAAAATGGCGATTAATCTTGGGGTTGAGCTTTCCTAATTAAGACAATTATCTCACAGTTTGTCAACGAAGTTCTAAGCGAAACAAATTAGTTTAACGGCAAACACTGATTCACGCGCAGTATTCCTCTCATGCCGGATCTAAGAGCAGCGGAGCAAGCATATTCTACTTGCAAATGCCGCGTTTGAAGTTAGTGTTCTGACTTTTCAATTGTTTTGAGTCTGCCAAAAAACCTAGCCCCTTTCATTTAGGTGGATGGTGGTTTTGTGTCTTTGTCTTGTTGAACGCATTCTTAAATGCTGGCGGCAAAGAGTGCCTCTTGGTAGTTCCTAGACCATCTCTTTGGCGGCTGCTGCTGCTACTGTCGGCGGAATCATTCGGCGGCAAATTTTGATTGACTCCTATTCTGGGTGCTGGTTTTTGTCTACGGTGAGCCGCTTTGGGCGAACAGGGCACCAACTCAGATTCAAATGCCACCTGGTCGTAGTAAGAATCTAATCCACGTTCAGGGCTAAGTGCTCCATGTTTTTGCTTATTTTTTGCAAAAAGCCCCCGTAGCTGAGGCGGTTCATCTGGCAGACGCCGCGAGCCCCCAATTTCATGTTTTGATTTATTGGGCCCATGATTTGGAGAAAACTGGGGATTAAGTGAAGCAAAGATTCGTGGTGGAGCAACAATCAAAGTTGCATCCTGTGCCACCAGGGTAGGGGGAGCAGCAACTGAAATGGGACCGGGGGCGACATGTCTAGGGTGTTGTTGGGGACAGAGTGGGGGGCTGATTAGGTTACATGGCGGATGGCGATTATGAGGTAACGGTCTGTGTTGTTGTTCACCTGAATGGAGAGTCATTCTGTTCTGGCTGCTCTGACAGTAGGCCTCTATAACCTCGAAAATTTTGGCATCATGATCCAGTGAGCGACAATCCAGTGCTAGACCATAAAACAAAACAAAGCACACTATTAAAGCATGTTGTTGGTACTTGCTTCTCTTGACCAAACATAAGATTTTTCTTATAGTGCGACTGATTGCATTTCGTTTTATGACTCAAAAAGATGATTGGTTCAACCCTCGGAAAAGGGACCTTACAAAGGATAAATAAACGGTCTACTCACTTTTCCTACTGTTCAGCTCCGCTAATTCTTCAGCTCGGATTTTCTCTGAAACAAAAATAAATGAATAAATACGATACTATACGAAGCATTTGTACCGAATATATACGAAGCATTTGTACCGATTATAAACTTTTCAGCAAACAACAAACGCTTAATCAAGGAGTCCAAAGACCCGTAAGCCATACCCCACATCCAGAATAGTATTCCATACAAAAGTAACCCACACCAAAGAATCATATTCCAAATCATCCCATACCAGCACAAAAAATGTCCAGCGTCATACTTGAGGAAACTGATAAAATTAAGACAATGAAGTCATATCATTACATTCGCAGCAAATTACAATATATTTCTACAAAGAACAGATTTTATCTATGACCAAAACTCAACAACGCAAAAAGTTGCTTGTCTTGGATGGAAATGATTTCACTAAAAAGCGTGATAAGAAATCTTCCACTACTCGCGTCGAGCAAAAAAGTTTTCTTATACGTGTCTAATGACACTTATAACTTGCATCGAAGTCATTACCTATTTCAGCCACGAGCACACCCATGAGTTTAACCCTGGTCGCGTAGAAGCAGGGCAGTTAGATACTCAGCTCTAATCCTGTTAACCACGAGTGCATAGCGGCGAGCCTTAAGACAGGCAACGATAGCTCAGCGATTCGGCTTTCACTACCCTAGCGTTCAGCGTTGAACCCTCAATCGGAACAAAAGGGTTAAACCACTTGAAGTGATTTCGACGGCAGACATTGATTTCGACATCATTATCTGTATAGGTGAAAAGATGACAACGAAGGATTGTTTATTCTGAGGACATGAAAAGATAACGGTTCTTCAAAAATTTGCGTTTGCCATCGAATTTTACAGGTATATCCATCTCAATTTTACCAATTCTACACAAAAGTTATATTAAAGCAGTGCTACTACAAATAAAAACCGTAAAAGTATCGAGAAATCAATAAAAATCCGTATGATAATTTGAACCAAAATTTGCAGCAAAATCTTCCAACTTGGGTCCAGTTCAAACCTTCGTAGATTATCGTCATACTGTCAGCAGAAACTTGCCAACATCTCGGCATTTTGATGCATTTTTAATTGATTTTCCAAAATCATTTGTTTGGAGTTATAGCCCTTTTACAGCCAATTTTGCCTTTCCCGCCATTCATTAAACCAGTTATATCTACATGGTGGTTTAAGTTACAAATTTTGTTGATTTCTAACTAAAATTTGTAATCTATCGTGGATCGATTGTTTGATTTTTTGAAAAATAGTCAAAGGCTTCGCCAATCAAGCCAGTTTGAAATAGTCTTCAGGCTTTGACATTTCAAAACAGCAGAAACCAATTATGAAAACGCAGTTTTCAATAGAGCAGGAAAAAAAACTAAGTAACAGTGCGGGAGCTACAGACTTATTTGACCGAAGTAATTAAAGCTGGACAATATAAGAAACATCAGTTATTTTGTCACTAATTTCCAATTATTACACAAAACTTTTACTGTTCCTACCAAACTTTTAGAGAAGGAATGAGCTATCGCGAAGGCAATATTTCCTGCCAATTTAGACTACCTCAAAAAAGCTCAAGGTTCAAGCGAGGCATCAGATTAAAGACATTTCTTTAAAAATTGAAGAAAAAAATTGTCAAGCAAAAAAGGCCACTCTAATTCAAAGCAAAAGCCATTATCTTTTATTTTAAGCGAATAGCTAATTAAAAACCTTGAGGTACTTCACCAACGTGTTGTTGGGGACAGAGTGTGGGGCTGATACCTCTACGCTACAGATTCATGATACCTTGAAGCTAAAGTGCTATTTGTAATATAATAGTCTGTGTTAATATCCTTAGCATTGGCTGTACTTAATAGCTGGTTATTGATCAAAACGAACACTTTCAAAGTGAACACATTTTGTCGCAACAATACTTGCGTCGCAACAATATTTGCGTCTTAGGTTGGAAAAAAGAAAGATCATACTATAACACAAGATTTGCTTGTTGTGTAAAAAACACAGTTAATTAAATTACAATTTGTGAACTTCGTTGATTATCTCGCTAAGCTCTTTAAACTTGAAAAGTAATTGACTTATAGCCGTTTTTGATCAAATCAACAAAATTTGAGAGAAGCCGTATCAAAAAAATACTTAATCGTGTTAAAATTCTATCTCAACTCGTTTAAGCAACAAATTAAAGCAACTTTTTTGAAACTAACTTAGGCGGCGACTTTCCACTTTTGTTGTTGGAGGGCGTAACTTTGCATAGCTCAAAAAATTAGAGTTCGGGTTAATTCATGCTATCGAAAATATAGTCAACAGACGATTTGGAACAGTGTTAGTGAACAAAAATGAATTGTACGAACTTCAATTAATGAAAGATAGAACAGAGAGCTAAACCCAGAAAAACCACAACAACGAGTCGTAAGATTTTCACCATACATCATCAACATCAACATTAAAAAAACGCGCAATGCCTGAAGTCAAATTTCAAGCCTGGTTTTTTTTCGTATAATTGCATGGATAAATCCAAGTTCTGATAAAAAAGCAATATCTAAAAATATACTTGGTCTTTATCATCAGCTCTTAACTAGATGGTTTTGCTCAGGATAAAAATTTTTGGATGTGGTGAGAAGCCGTAGCGTGGGGTATGTAGCTTGCTAAAAAGCATGGAAGAACAGTGAGTGACGAACTTTTTCGGAGCTAAACAAAACGTACGAGCGCCTTCTTGATTGCCATATATTTAATATTAGCATAAATAACGCATGGATGCTCGATTTTTCTTTACCCTTCGGCGTGTTCGAGTGTCCAGTTCTGCTAGTATAAGCATATGTACTTGAACTGGAAGAAACGGATACTGGGTTGGCCATACACAACCAATCTAAACAGACCTCCGCCTATTCTTAATTCACACTAAATTCTCACTTCTATATTTTTTATGCACGCTTACAATAGGAATATTTCACTTGGAACAGATAATTTTAAAAAGGCCAACTGAAAAAAAGTTTGAAAAGAGTCAATGAACGCATGAAAACAGAAACTGGCATGTTTTTTTGAAAACATAGCCAACTGACTGTTGGAAAAGAGTAATGAACGCAAAGATGATGAAAAAAACGCCTTGTTTTTTCAAAAACCTTTAATTTTTTGATTTCAAAAAAAATATAGACAGCCTCTAAGCTCTTTGAATTTGTAGAACAATTTTTGATGGACACTTTTTTGTTAAAATTAACCCAATTTAAGAAAACTGGATCAAAAGACAAAACTTTTATGTCGCTGAGAAATCTGATAATTTATTTCCATTTTCGAAATTTTTATTCCGCTGGGAAATCTAAAATTAAAGCCAACTTTTGTGACCTGTACACTATAGTTGCTCGATAGTGGAGTTGGTTTTCCTTTAAAAAAAGGAAATAAGTCAAAACAAGAAATCAGAAAAATAAAATTTGAGCGTGAACAACCAAACTTTTTCCCGAAAGAAAACGACTTTTGAATTTCAAAAAAAAATAGACGGCCTTTAAGCTCTTTGAATTTGTAGAACAATTTTTGATGGACACTTTTTTGGTAAACCAGAAAAGCATTCTATTTATTTGAAAGTCAGTCGATAAAAAAAACTGGCAGGCAAACAATAACCCAAATACGCAATGACTCCCAGAAAAAAAATCAAAAAAACGTGTCGACAAAAAAAATAGTTCCGACCGGGATTCAAACGTGAGACCTAAGGTTCGCAAGGCACGCGCGCAACAGCTAGACCAGATTTCATACCAAAACTGTGATTTCTACTTCATTAACTTATTCAAGGCCCTCTTGAATGCGACAAACAACTTAACAACAACAAAAAAACTTCAGTCTACTCGATTATACTGCACCTTTTAGAAATAATGCCAATATACAGCTGGAATTTTTGAAAAGCTTAAGGAAAATTCATTGATTAACGCAGAAGCGAAGTTGAACTTCGCATACACAAGCAAAAACATGACCGATAACGCTACTAGGCTACTGAATGATTTAAACTTGGAATTTACAAAACTTCGCAAGCGACGCAAGCCACTTATGACGCATCAGCAATACCAGTAAATTTGAAAAAAAAAGAAATATATCAACTAACATGTCTCAATTTAAAGAGCGGACGCATTTTAGCTAGTATACGAAAAAGTTCATTAAGAAACATCTGACCCCGCCCAGGTTCAAACTCTCTTATTTTGTTGCTGGTCTCATTCCCTACCTCTACGCTACAGATTCATGATACCTTGAAGCTAAAGTGCTATTTGTAATATAATAGTCTGTGTTAATATCCTTAGCATTAGCTGTACTTAATAGCTGGTTATTGATCAAAACGAACACTTTCAAAGTGAACACATTTTGTCGCAACAATACTTGCGTCGCAACAAAATTTGCGACTTAGGTTGGAAAAAAGAAAGATCATACTATAACACAAGATTTGCTTGTTGTGTAAAAAACACAGTTAATTAAATTACAATTTGTGAACTTCGTTGATTATCTCGTTAAGCTCTTTAAACTTGAAAAGTAATAGACTTAGAGCCGTTTTTGATTCAAATCAACAAAATTTGGGAGAAGCCGTATTAAAAAAATACTTAATCGTGTTAAAATTCTATTTCAACTCGTTTAAGCGACAAATTAAAGCAACTTTTTTGAAACTAACTTAGGCGGCGACTTTCCACTTTTGTTGTTGGAGGGCGTAACTTTGCATAGCTCAAAAAATTAGAGTTCGGGTTAATTCATGCTATCGAAAATATAGTCAACAGACGATTTGGAACAGTGTTAGTGAACAAAAATGAATTGTACGAACTTCAATTAATGAAAGATAGAACAGAGAGCTAAATCCAGAAAAACAACAACAACGAGTCGTAAGATTCTCACCGTACATCATCAACATCAACATTAAAAAAAACGCGCAATGCCTGAAGTCAAATTGCAAGCCTGGTTTTTTTTTTTCGTATAATTGCATGGATATATCCAAGTTCTGATAAAAAAGCAATATCTAAAAATATACTTGGTCTTTATCATCAGCTCTTAACTAGATGGTTTTGCTCAGGATAATAATTTTTGGATGTGATGAGAAGCCGTAGCGTGGGGTATGTAGCTTGCTAAAAAGCATGGAAGAACAGTGAGTGACGTGAACTTTTTCGGAGCTAAACAAAACGTACGAGCGCCTTCTTGATTGCCATATATTTAATATTAGCATAAATAACGCATGGATGCTCGATTTTTCTTTACCCTTCGGCGTGTTCGAGTGTCCAGTTCTGCTAGTATAAGCATATGTACTTAAACTGGAAGAAACGGATACTGGGTTGGCCATACACAACCAATCTAAACAGACCTCCGCCTATTCTTAATTCACACTAAATTCTCACTTTTTCTATATTTTTATGCACGCTTACAATAGGAATAATTCACTTGGAACAGATAATTTTAAAAAGGCCAACTGAAAAAAAGTTGGAAAAGAGTCAATGAACGCAAGAAAACAGAAACTGGCATGTTTTTTTGAAAACATAGCCAACTGACAGTTGGAAAAGAGTAATGAACGCAAAGATGATGAAAAAAACGCCTTGTTTTTTCAAAAACCTTCAAGTTTTTGATTTCAAAAAAATATATAGACAGCCTCTAAGCTCTTTGAATTTGTAGAACAATTTTTGATGGACACTTTTTTGTTAAAATTACCCAATTTAAGAAAACTGGATCAAAAGGCAAAACTTTTATGTCGCTGAGAAATCTGATAATTAATTTCCATTTTCGAAATTTTTATTCCGCTGGAAAATCTAAAATTAAAGCCAAATTTTGTGACCTGTACACTATAGTTGCTCGATAGTGGAGTTGGCTTTCCTTTAAAAAAAGGAAATAAGGCAAAACAAGAAATCAGAAAAATAAAATTTGAGCGTGAACAAGCAAACTTTTTCCCGAAAGAAAACGACTTTCGAATTTCAGAAAAAAATAGACGGCCTTTAAGCTCTTTGAATTTGTAAAACAATTTTTGATGGACATTTTTTTGTTAAAATTAACCCAATTTAAGAAAACTGGATCAAAAGGCAAAACTTTTATGTCGCTGAGAAATCTGATAATTAATTTCCATTTTCGAAATTTTTATTCCGCTGGGATATCTAAAACTAAAGCCAACTTCTGTGACCCGTAAACTATAGTTGCTCGATAGTGGAGATGGTTTTCCTTAAAAAAAAGGAAATAAAGCAAAACAAGAAATCAGAAAAATCAAAATTGAGCGTGAACAAACAAAAATATTTTCCCGAAAAAAAAAACAACTTTTGAATTACTAAAAAATATAGACGGCCTTTAAGCTCTTTGAATTTGTTGAATAGTTTTTGATGGACACTTTTTTGCTGAAGTTAACCCAATGTAAGAAAACTGGATCAAAAGGCAAATTGTTGATGTCGCTGAGAAATCTGATAATTAATTTCCATTTTCGAAATTAGAAGTCGATCACAGTTTCCGTGACCTTTACACTTTTGCTCCTCGATAGTGGAGTTTGCCTTCCTTTATGCAATGAAAAAACACTGAACTTAAAAAGAAATCACAAGTCAAACCCCGAAAAATTAAAATTGCGATTGAGGAAATTCTAACACTTTTTCCCGAAAAAATACCAAAAAAATCAGCAAGACCTATATAATAGTACTCACTGCGTTCAATACTCTGCACAACTTCTGCTATCTAATTTCAAAGAAAAAAATGTGGCCTTCAAGTACTTCGAACTTCAAGAAAAACTTACGATTGCCACTTTTTAGATAAAACTCACCCCATTTGAGAAAACAAAGCAATGGGTAAATTTATATTCCACTGGGAAAGCTAAAATTGAAGCCAACTTTTGTGACCTATACAACATAATTGCTCGATAGTGGAAATGGCTTTTCTTTAAAAAAAAAAGGAAATAAAGCAAAACAAGAAATCAGAAAATTCAAATTTGAGCGTGAAGAAACAAAAACTTTTTCCCGAAAAAAAAAACAAGACATAAACACAGAAACGAAGTTGCACTTCGCATATACAAGCAAAAATATGACCGATAACGCTGCTGGGAAAAACTGAATGAGAAAGACTTTTACAAAGAAAACAAAATTTCTTTTGTGACGCACGCCAATTATGACGCATTCGCAGTACTAGTCAATTTAAAAAAAGAAAAGTAACTTGTCTCAATTCATAGAGAAGTCTATGTAGCAGTAATGAATTGAAAAAATAAAATATAATAAAAAAAAAAACGATTTTTTTTAAAATTGAGACTTTTTGCGAAAACCAACCCCACACACGCTATATTAACTACAAAGTGATAAATTTCGCTCATAGTAACAAATCATTAATGGCAAATAAGCTCCTTCAACCCATTTAGAACGATTTCTGTGACGAATAAAATCTCCTCTTACGCGTTTATAGCGCGAAATACATCGCGCGTTAATTGTCTCAAATTGTCCAAAATGGCAATTTTTAAACCCCGATAACTTTATGAAAAATAATCACAGGTAAAATATCTTATCAAATTTAAGGTCAGAAAAACAATACTTTTTGAATGATATAAAAAAAATCCCGTCAAAAATGGCTAGTTAAGTCGAAATTTGTCTGAAGAAAAAACACCCCGAGCTTAAATATTCCGCTACTTTCGTTGCGAAAGTCGGAACAATAAAAGTCTGTGTTAAAATCCTTAGCATTGGCTGTAATTAATAGCTGGTTATTGATCAAAACGAACACTTTCAAAATGAACACATTTTATCGTAACAAAATTTTCGTCGCAACAATATTTGCGATTTGGGTTGGAAAAAAAAGATAGTTCATACTATAACACAAGCTTTGCTTGTGTAAAAAGTCATCAGTAAGTACATTCATTGACTCTACAACAATTTCTACGGACAGGGCGAATTTACGATTTTTGCAAGGGGGCTGATGTTAAAAAACTGACTACTGAATTCAACTTTCGATGAATCGGCGACCGATCATTTTTGAGAAACATGAGGGGTAGCCATAAATTCGCCCCTGCTTATGTATGCAAATAATTAAATTTTCTTTCGAAGCACGCATCTCAGCAAAAATATCAAATAGCCAAGAGTTATCTTGGTTGTTTTTCTTGTGCGAGAGATGCCTGAACGGAATTTCTGTTGACTGACCTGATTTGCGATTGCTCTTTTTGCGTGACACTTTGGGGCTTTTGACTGCGTCCTTTAACAAACAATTCGGACAATTGATTTTGAATGAATTTTTTGATAATTAAATTTTTGAAGTATTAATTGAGTGAGCTCACATTAGACTGTCTGGCACAGAGAATGAGTTCAGATGGTGTCATTGGAGGATTGGGTCTGAGCTGAGTAATGTCGAAACCCCCTGTAGTGACAGCAGTCCCGTTGCAGCGTCCGGCGCCCATCGAACTGGGACTGTGATTTGCACCTGTACTTCTCTAAAAACAATAGCAATCACATATCATTGGGTCTAGGTCATTTTGCAGTCAAGTTTTTAGCAGACCGATATCTTAGCAGATTCAAAAAACTAACATGTCACAACGCTAACTTTAAATGCCGCATTGGCAAGTAGCGAATGCTTACTCCCCTTTGCTTTGCAGCACTTACAATATACACGAGCAGTGTCCGGCAATGAGATCACCAGCGGTTAAGACAATCATTTTTGTTGGGACATTGAGACGACAATTTAATTCTACAATCGCTTCATTTCTGAGGAATAAAAAACCGCTTCAATGTACGTACGAAAAATTCACTAAGAAGGTTCGTACTACAGCACTAGCTTCTCGCTAGCGTAAATAACAGATCAATTTGCTTACTCATTTAATATAAAATTTCAATAACAAAATGAATTTCAAACTTGTTCCTCCCAAAAGTCGAGGTTAATAGTCAACAGTTGTTTAGTTGAACAGTTGTTTAGTTAACAGAAAAAACTACTGATCTGTTTTTTTGAAAAATAAATCAACTTTCGAATTTCAAAAAAAAGTAGATAACCTTAAAGCTCTTTCATTTTTAGAAAACTTTCTGATTGACAATTTTTCGATGAAATAAACACAATTTGAGAAAACTGGATCAATGGGTAAATTTTTTTATTCCGCTGTCGAAACTAGAAGTCGCTTACGTTGTTGGTGACCTTTACACTTTTGCTGTTCCATAATGGAGCTTCCCTTCACTTTAACAAATGAAATGAGCTTGAAGTCAAACCACGAAAAATCAAATTTGAGCCCGAACAAACTTTAAGACTTACTGAACAAAATTAACAGAAATCATTAAGAACTTTATGAGAAGCTTCACTACATCCATTGTCATGTCGTCTTTTTCACCTAGCACCGGCACGAGGGGTAATTTAAATTATTCAGCTTTTTGCAGCTTATTTAGATTACTGTATTTCGAAATTAATAGAATTTCTTGAAAAACAGTCAGATAATTGTCCTAACTAGGGAGGCAAAACCCCAAACTACGCGTCTTTTTAAAACTGTTAATCAATTATGCGTCAATTGTTTACTAAGCAAAGTAAACACCTAGCATAGTAGTAAGACTTTGACATTGAGAACGTCAAATCGACTTCTAGCTGCCCTGCCATGACAACGATATATTCAAAGCTTACCCCATTTGAGAAAACAAAGCAATAGGTAAATTTATATTCCACTGGGAAAGCTAAAATTGAAGCCAACTTTTGTGACCTATACAACATAATTGCTCGATAGTGGAAATGGCTTTTCTTTAAAAAAAAAGGAAATACAGCAAAACAAGAAATCAGAAAAATCAAATTTGAGCTTGAACAAACAAAAACTTTTTCCCGAAAAAAAAACAAGACATAAACACAGAGGCGAAGTTGCACTTCGCATATACAAGCAAAAATATGACCGATAACGCTGCTGGGAAAAACTGAATGAGTAAGACTTTGAGAAAGAAAACAAAATTTCTTTAGTGACGCACCCCAATTATGACGCATTAGCAGTACCGATCAACTTAAAAAAAAGAAAAGTAACAACCTCAATTTATAGAGTAGTCTATGCAGCAGTATTAATTTGAAAAAATTAAATGTACTAAAAGTAAAGCGAATTTTTTTTTAATTTGAGACTTGCAAAAACGATCCCCCCACACGCAATATCAACTACAAAGTGATAAATTTCGCTCCTAGTAACAAATCATTAATGGCAAATTAGCTTCCTTCAAACCATTTGGAACGATTTCTGTGACGGATAAAATCTCCTTTTACGTGTTAGTACGCGAAATTCGCGCGTTAATTGTCCCAAATTAACCAAAATGGCAATTTTTAAACCCCGATAACTTTATAAAAAAAAGTCACAGGTAGAAAATTTTTTCAAATTTAAGGTCAAAACAACAATACTTTTTGATTGATAAAAGAAAATCCCGTCAAAAATGGCTAGTTAAGTCGAAATTTGTCTGAAGAAAAAACACCCCGAGCTTAAATATTCCGCTACTTTCGTTGCGAAAGTCGGAACAATAAAAGTCTGTGTTAAAATCCTTAGCATTGGCTGTAATTAATAGCTGGTTATTGATCAAAACGAACACTTTCAAAATGAACACATTTTATCGTAACAAAATTTTCGTCGCAACAATATTTGCGATTTGGGTTGGAAAAAAAATAGTTCATACTATAACACAAGCTTTGCTTGTGTGAAAAGTCATCAGTACATTCATTGACTCTACAACAACTTCTAGGGACACGGGCAAACTTCGGATTTTTGCAAGGGGGCTGATGTTAAAAAACTGACTAATGAATTCAACAGTCAGATAATTGTCTTAACTAGGGAGGCAAAACCCTAAACTACGCTTCTTTTTAAAACTGTTAATCAATTATCCGTCGATTGTTTATTAAGCAAAGTAAACACCTAGCATAGTAGTAAGACTTTGACATTGAGAACGTCAAATCGACTTCTAGCTGCCCTGCCATGACAACGATATATTCAAAGCTTACCCCATTTGAGAAAACAAAGAAATAGGTAAATTTATATTCCACTGGGAAAGCTAAAATTGAAGCCAACTTTTGTGACCTATACAATATAATTGCTCGATAGTGGAAATGGCTTCTCTTTAAAAAAAAAGGAAATAAAGCAAAACAAGAAATCAGAAAAATCAAATTTGAGCTTGAACAAACAAAAACTTTTTCCCGAAAAAAAAACAAGACATAAACACAGAGGCGAAGTTGCACTTCGCATATACAAGCAAAAATATGACCGATAACGCTGCTGGTAAAAACTGAATGAGTAAGACTTTCAGAAAGAAAACAAAATTTCTTTAGTGACGCACGCCAATTATGACGCATTAGCAGTCAATTTGAAAAAAAAGAAATTTACCAAGTAACATGCCTAAATTTATAGAGCAGTCTATGGAGCAGTAATAAATTGAAAAAATTCAATAAAACTAAAATAAAACAAAATTCTTTTTAAATTTGAGACTTTTTGTGAAAACCATCCCCCCACACGCTATATTAACTACAAAGTGATAAATTTCGCTCCTAGTAACAAATCATTGATGGAAAATAAGCTTCCTTAGTAGCTCCTAGTAACAAGTCATTAAGGGCTAATAAGCTTCATTAATAGATTATTGTATTTCGAAATTAATAAAATTTCTTGAAAAACAGTCAGATAATTGTCTTAACTAGGGAGGCAAAACCCCAAACTACGCGTCTTTTTAAAACTGTTACTCAATAATGCGTCAATTGTTTATTAATTTAAGTAAATACCTAGCATAGTAGCAAGGCTTTCACATTGAGAACGTCAAATCGACTTCTAGCTGCCCCGCCATGACAACGATAGTGCGTGAGGACGAGTCCCACTTAACCTCTAGATTCAGACCTACCAGAGCATGATCAGCTTTGCTACACTCGTAGCACCACTTTCTAGACGAAAAAACAACGCTAAAAAAAATAATTTATCCTGAACTAAGACTGGCCTGTTAAAGCCTTCTGATATCAGGAACCACAATTATTGCACAGAGGCAACGCCGAACTCCGCAAACAGAAAACGTGAGTGATCTTTCAAATGGCAGGAAAGTGCAAAACAATTAAATAACTGAAATATGTAAAAACAAAACAGCCAAAATACAGTGGGAAAAAAGTCAATGAACAAGTAAAGAGAAAAAAACTGACTTATTTTTTTTGAAAAAATCGCAACTAAAATAAAATGAAACCAAATTGAGGAAACCAAATTGAGAAAACTACATTAATAGGTTAAAAAAAGTTTTTGCTGGGAAATCTGATAACTAACATCCATTTTCGAAACTAGAAGTACATCACGTTTTTCGTGACCTTTACACTTTTGCTTTTCGATAGTGGAATTTGCCTTCCTTTCAACAAAGCAAATGAACTGAACATAAAAATTAATCAAGAGTCAAACCTCGAAAAATTATATTTGGGCTTGAACAAATTTTCAAGACTTTTCCTGAAAAAAAAACAGAGAAAATAATCGTGACTTATAGTCTGAACAACATATCAACTCTTAAACAAAACATCCCCTCCGGGAAATGAACCTCCGCCATGGAGGACTTGCAGATTTAGAGTCAACTGCCTTACCAATGGCACTAAGTGCACTTGTTGTCAGCTAAATACCAGCTATAATATATAGTGACTGGTGTTTACCAAAGACCAGCTACACAGATACTGAATTTTTAACACTTTTGAGAAAATCACATTAATTTATGCGACTTAGGCAGGGTAAAAGGTCGATTCGTAGTATAACACAAGCGGTTGTTTGCGTATTTATTATTACGTTGGTCTGCTATTAGACTCAATTTGAACTTCTTATGGTGGAAGATTGGTCTGCTAAAAATTTCGAATTATTGCACATTGCAGCGCATAATTTTGACATGAACTAAACGAATCAGACTAAATAAGTCAATCGTGAACATATAGATGGCAGAACTATCTGCAATTTCAATTCAGATACAATCATAAGCCATATTCGTTTAACATCAAGCATTTCAATGTCAACTAGCGTGTACCGCACCTCCGGTGCTTCGAATTTTCAACAACTCAAAAAAACTATTCTTTGAGTGTACTCTGACAGCACCCAATTACAGGGTTCGTAATTAAAAATTTTGCAAAGTTTTTATTCACGTTTTTTAAACAAATTTTGAAGAACCATAAAATTTTGTGAAGTTTTATATAAGTTCTTCGAAAAATTTAAAATGAACTATGAAACGTCACATCTGGGAAACTGAAAGCAATTGAGCAGTCGCATTTGGACGCAAGATTTGCAACTCCTGAGAGTACTCTCACAGTACCCAACTACAACGTTGGGAAGTTCAAATTTTGAGAAAGTTCACCTTAAGTTTTCTAATTTCGAAAACAACCAATACTTGAGCAGTCTTTTTTGATGGCAATATTCGCAATCTTTGAAAGTAGACAACTACAGGGTTAGGAATTTCACTTTAACGAATTATTTTGTAATTTGAGTTTTCTGAAAATTTCCAAAAAAAATCACACAAATCGTCGTATCTCTTGAACAAAAATGATTTGGGTATTCTTAGACGGAGGCCGAATTTGCAATCCCTGAGATTACTCTGACAGCCCCACAACTACAGGTTAGGAATTTCAAACTTTGAAAAAAAAATAATTTAATTTTCATAAAAAATGTAATATCTGGAAAATTGCACGATTTTGAGCAGTCCTATTTGGAGGCAAAAATCGCAACTACAGAGAGTACCCTGACAGAGCCTCACAACAGAGATATTAATTTCAAGTATTGGAAAATTTTTTATAATTAAGTTTTCTGAAAAAATTAGAAAAAAAAATCCAAAAAAGGTCATATCTCGAAAATTCCAAGAAATTTAGCAGTCATATTGGGAGGCAAAATTCGCAACACCACAGAGTACCCTGGCAGAGCCACACTACACAGATAATAGTTTCAAGTTTTGCGAAATTTTTTATAATTAAGTTTTCTGAAAAAGTTTTGAAAAAATCCTAAAAAACGTCATATCTCGAAAACTACATGAATTTGAACAGCGATTCTCAGAGGCAAGATTCGCAACCCCCTGAGAGTACCCTCACAGATTTCAATTACAGGATTGAAATCTTTAAAGTTTTGGAATTTTTTAACATGTAAGTTTTTTCAAATTTCGGATAAAATCATAAAAACCGTCATATCTCGAAAACTACAAGGATTTGAGCAGTTTTAATTGGCAGAGAAATTTGCAACTCCTGAGAGTACCCCGACAGAGCCTCACTACAGAAATGGTAATTTCAAGTTTTGTGAAATTTATATCTAAGTTTTCTGAAAATTTTTTAAAAATCCAAAAACGTCATATCTCGAAATCTACAAGAATTTGAGCAGCCATAAGTCCTCTTACAGTACCCAACTACAACGTTGGGAAGTTCAAATTTTGAGGAACTTCACCTTAAGTTTTCTAATCTCGAAAACAACCAATACTTGACCAGTCTTTTTTGATGGCAATATTCGCAATCTTTGAAAGTAGACAACTACAGGGTTAGGAATTTCACTTTAACGAATTATTTTGTAATTTGAGTTTTCTGAAAATTTCCAAAAAAAATCACACAAATCGTCGTATCTCTTGAACAAAAATGATTTGGGCATTCTTAGACGGAGGCCGAATTTGCAATCCCTGAGATTACTCTGACAGCCCCACAACTACAGGTTAGGAATTTCAAACTTTGAAAAAAAAAATAATTTAATTTTCATAAAAAATGTAATATCTGGAAAATTGCACGATTTTGAGCAGTCCTATTTGGAGGCAAAAATCGCAACTCCAGAGAGTACCCTGACAGATCCTCACAACAGAGATATTAATTTCAAGTATTGAAAAATTTTTTATAATTAAGTTTTCTGAAAAAATTAGAAAAAAAAATCCAAAAAAGGTCATATCTCGAAAATTCCAAGAAATTTAGCAGTCATATTGGGAGGCAAAATTCGCAACACCTCAGAGTACCCTGGCAGAGCCTCACTATGCAGATAAAAGTTTCGAGTTTTGCGAAATTTTTTATAATTAAGTTTTCTGAAAAAATTTTGAAAAATCCTAAAAAACGTCAGATGATCTCGAAAACTACATGAATTTGAACAGCGATTCTCAGAGGCAAGATTCGCAACCCCCTGAGAGTACCCTCACAGATTCCAATAACAGGATTGAAATCTTTAAAGTTTTGAAATTTTTTAACATTTAAGTTTTTTCAAATTTCGGATAAAATCATAAAAACCGTCATATCTCGAAAACTACAAGGATTTGAGCAGTTTTAATTGGCAGAGAAATTTGCAACTCCTGAGAGTACCCCGACAGAGCCTCACTACAGAGATGGTAATTTCAAGTTTTGTGAAATTTATATCTAAGTTTTCTGAAAAATTTTTAAAAAATCCAAAAACGTCATATCTCGAAATCTACAAGAATTTGAGCAGCCATAATCAGAGGCAAGATTCGCAACTCCTGAGAGTACCTCAAAATATCCAACAACAGGATTGAGATCTTCGTTTTGGAATTTTTTAAAATGTAAGTTTTTGAAAAAATCATAAAAACCATCATATCTCGAAAACTACAAGGATTTGAGAAGTGAGAATTGGAGGCAAGATTCGCAACCCCTGAGAGTACCCTGACAGCACCCAACTACAGGGTGAGAATTTCAAAAATTGAGAAACTTTTTAAAATTAAATTTTCTAGAAGTTTTTGAAAAATCTCGAAAACTGCCTATCTAGTAAACTAAAAGGATTTGGCTATTCATATTGTGAGGCCAGAATCGCAAAACCTGGGAAAACTCAGACAATATCCTACTATTGGGTTGCTAATTTCAAACTTGATGAATTAAACACTGAAAAAAAAACCATACGATATAGCTTAAACGTGAAAAAAATCTTTTGTTAAACATGCAAAAATCATACGTTGAAAAAGCTTAAACATGGCGAGATAGTGAAGCCCGCAAATAAATATATAATAGATAGATAGATATTAGATGAAAGTTAAAAAATTAGGCGACGTGTAGACAGACATAATCAAATTAATTTAAAAAAGCAGGTATACAGACAGACTTAATTTGGCCTCGAAAAAAATACTGAAAAATTCATGACCTTGCTAAAAACTAATTGAAAAATTTTCTTAAGCATTGCAATATATGCTATAGCTTAAACATGAAAAAAATCTTTCGTTAAACATGCAAAATTATTATGCTTAAACATGGGAGATAGCTGTCACTCGCATTTAAATATAGTATAGATAGATAGATAGATAGATAGAGATAGATAGATAGATAGATAGATAGATAGATAGATAGATAGATAGATAGATAGCTATAGATAAAATATAGTATAGATAGGTGTAAATTCAGACCTCGTTGCGCATGAATGGTGGTGGTCTTGAAACTGCATGGGCATGGTGCGATGGTGGTTGTGGGGACATTGATGGGTGAGATGCAGCCGCTGATGACCTTAGTCTAGCATGTGAGGATACTGCCGACAATCCCTTGGAGCCTGCTGGAACATTATGCTGCTGGGAAGGGTAGCCAGTGAGCGGGGAAGTGGATTGGAGAAATGGACGTGGACTGTTGCTGGGACCCAAAGCAGCAGACCCGGAGATGGCTGAGGATGCCGCTGACTGGTCTCCAATCATCTTCACCCACTGCGCCCTTTGCTGGTTCAATCGGAACAACACTGAATATCTCTCGCCATCTTGATCTAGTGTTTGGAAATTCCATTAGTTTATTCATCTTCACATACCGAGAAAACTCAAATTGCCTTTTGCAAGAACCCTCTATCTACTAGTAATAGATTCATCGCTCTAATCAGTTCGACCAATTAACATAAAAGAGGGCCGATTTTATTCTATTTTTTCGCAATGGCCCCACAAACCGTTTTCTTCCACAAAATTCCTTCAAATGCGGGCAACAATATTGTTACTACTTCAAGTTGGCAAATCAAACAAATATTATATAGACTTTAAATTTATAAATTTATCTAAATTCATATAGATTCAAAACTGCTCGATGAAAAAACAGCCAACAGATAGATGGAAAGAAGTTCATGCACTCAAGAAAACCAAAAAAATTACCAAACTTTTTAAGTATTTCAAAACAAAAAATACATGCGCAGAAACTTTTTTGATAAAAAGTAACCCAACTGTACAGTGCTGATTTAAATTATCCGGACAAAACGAACAAAATTTGAACTTTCAATTGCGTTTTTCCCAAATTTGGTTAAAATTAGACAAAAAGTGAAGTGTTTAAAAGTGGCTTAGAAATTCGCCAGAATTAAAAAGGTACAATTTTTTCACCAAAATTCTCAACTTAAATTTTACCCAAAATGGATAATTTTGGCATTTATAAATAATCAAGATTTACGCTGAAACTACCTAATTAATAGCTGAGAAACTTATATCACAAGAAGCCTGTTACACATCCCAACAAAATTCTAGAAGGGTTGAATCTCTAAAAACTTGTATCAGAGAAAATATTTTTGCTTGTTAGTCATGAAATGTGATTTTTACTAATAAAAGCCAAAATTTTGGACAAAATTAAAAGCAAATTTACTTTTTTATTCCTTGCCCAATTTCGAGGACCACTTTGGACAATATTTACTTAGAATTATCAAAAACAAAAGTAGAAATAAGCCTCGAATTAGCAAAAACTCGGATTTGAATCTGCGACCTAGCAAATTTGAGTCTCACGCACTAACCACTCAGCCACGGACGCTTAAAATCGCCAAAAAAAGACACCAATAACGCAGCTACAAATGCTAATAAATTGCCAATTCGATGCAGCAAAAGCAGCACCAAATACAAAAAGACACAATTCTGCATGTAATAAATTGGAATGCATAAAGCCAAATTATGTATAAATTATGCATTTCAAAAAACTGCGAGATACATTGAGTTAGAAGATTTCTGAAATCGAACTTTTTATCATTGTACAGCTGTTTGAAACAAATCACTTTTTTCGGTTAACTTTTTACGAATCAAATGCAACGCAACTGATGTTATGCTGATCTCGCAGCCTACCGATTCAAAATTGCCACCAAAAGTAGCACTATTATTTGCGTTTTAGTTTGAAAAAAAGAAAGTTCGTACTAATACACTTTGCTTCGCAAGTGTACAAAAACGACATAATTAAGAAAACTTGTCAGACTGAACAAGTCAGTTTGCTCGTTCAAAAAGTTTCACATCACATGATCAATTTCTTTTACTCCACTTCTTCAAGAAAAAACTTATTACAGATGGTGAAAAATGGAATTTTCAGACCAGGAATTAACAGATAGGTACTTCAGATCAAAAATTGAGACTTACAGAGGGAACTTCAGATCATTTACGTCGGTCAATGTAAAATTTTTTGCTTGAATTCTTAATCAATATTGGCCAAATCGGTCCTTGAAATTAGGCATTTACAGAGTAAAAACCTAAATTTTTGGTTGTTTTTTCCACATGGGTAAAAATTAAACTAAATTTCCAAAAAAAAAACATATGGAAATCGTAGTATAGCTTCTTTTTTTGCAAATTACTTCGAAATGAACTCAAAAAGTGCTCTTATATACTTATTAGAGCAGCTTTAAAAAAATTTTGCTTAAAAACAAAAAATTACAAGAGCTATGTAAGTGTTTCACTACATTCATTGACTCTTAAAATATTAAAACATACCCAACATACTGTTCGAAACGTTCTTAGGAACTCAACGATACCGAATTTAAAGGATTTACTTTCTTTTGATCATTTTCAACTTTCGAACTTAGGAGAAACTACTCACTTAAGACTTTGAACTTCAACAATCTATACTAATTGGCACTTTTTTCGTTAAAATAAGCCCAAATAGAAAAAACTGGGTGCATAGGTATTTATTTTCCTCATTAGCACTTTTTGTTGTAGAGCGCAATTTTCCTGCCTTTAAGCAAATGAATTCAAAATAACTGTTGACAAGTGAAAAAAGAAATCGAATTGCGAAAAACAAATATAAGAGTGAACAATTTCTAAAACTTTTTCTGAAAAAAACACCATATTCCTAAATACAGGAAAAATCATTATGTTCATTAACTCTCAAGTCAAATTGAACTCACAAACCGATGAGAATAAGAGGGTATTTTGAAGAATGGTTAGATTTTGCATCACTAGCTGGATCCTTCGCATGTGCCACCAACTCGCGCATCTCAATTAGGTGCTAGAAACAGTTTTACATTTGATGACATTCAGAGCTTTTTAACGCAAACCGTTGCTGAACTGTTCAGGAGCTTAAAAAAATTAATCTTCCTCATTATAAACCACTGCCTTAGACTATAAACGCATCAACTATATCCTATCACAGAACGCCTTTAGTTTTCTGGTGCGTTATAATTTGCAGTAGGACCTAAAAGGGAAAAAGACATAAAAATTTGAAAGTCCACGGAAAGTTTAGGCACTTTTTGGAAAGTTTTGACCAAAAATTTTTTTCAGCGCGCGCACTATTAGAATGTATTGTCGCCAAAAACGCCTTTAGAAAAACTTAGGGTCGGTCAGCCAAAAATTATGTCACATAATATTACCAAAATTGGGACCTTTTTGGTCGTCAAGGGGTCAATTCACCGATAGAGAGAGGAGGGGAATCCACCCTCCTAAATCCGATACTGTTTACAGTATTATTTCCACTGGAATATACTGATATGGGATAATTTGGGATGGGAGACTGAAGACTAAAAATCAACATCGCTTTTTAATACCGTTTAATATCGCATCGAATAAAATACTCTATTACTTGGCACTTATAGCATTTCGGATCCGGTGTAGGTTGAACTATCACCACATAGTCAGTGAACATCAGGAGGTAGCTTTCTGCCAGACTCTAAAACGGCAAAACTTTCAGCTTACTAAACTTAAAAGTGAGTCGCGCGAGTTTTTCGAGCCGTTTCCATTTTAGTTTATTGTGAGCTTTCTTTTCTTTCCTTTGTAAAATGGATTCACATTTGAGCTTTTGTAAAATCGCCAGTCAAACCGTCTAAATTTTAAAATGAGTGTGAGCAACAGGACTTTTCGCAGTAATAAAAACACTTCGTACATATTTAACGCTATCAACAAATTTTGAAATTAATATGACAGGACCATATTTGCGATCAATCGACTTATTCTTATCTGATATTAATGGGTTGCAATAATAGGGAAAATATAGCTCAAAAAAGACAAAATCGGTATTTGAAAACCAAAGAATCTAATAAAAGGTTCTTGGTTTGGTTCTCACGTGCCACTATTGTTACAAAAATGTATCACCAGAGAGTGATTTTTTTTTAATTCAGCAGATAACACGGCTAAGATGATATTCATGATCCAACTTGCAATGTAAATGGCAAAAGGCACACTAAGGAATGTACACTCATATAAACTAAATAGCATTGATGCAGATGTGAAGTTCTTACAGATGAATTTGGCTTCGTGGTCCATACGGCTGCCATGCTCAAAACTGGTCCGATCGCTGATAGAGGAGCGTTGGCTGTGGCTGGATCATTTATGGGGCGGGGCCAGTTGTCCATACGAGCAGAGAGAATCTCCATCTCCCTCTCTTTCAGACCACGCACTTCCTCCAGCTCATTCTTAAACAGAGCCCAAACTCAAACTCCTACCAACAGTTCTTAATCACGAAGCATCGCCATGTTCTAGGCTTGATAATCAATCAATTATGTTGGCTATAAAGTATCGAAAAATTAGCATTACACGCTTAAAAACAGATACGATGGCGAGCTGGATTTCGATTTGCGTTTAATCCAAAAGAACTGAACAAATCAAAAGAGGGCTGAGAAATTAGACGATAAGCAAATTAGACGGAGGTACTTAAAAGGAAATTAGACGGTTTTGCAAAACTGCAATTGTGAGAAAATAGACGAAAGTGAGAGAAATTAACTTTGTTTGCACACAAATTGCGTAAGAAAAATAAAATTGTTTGTAGACAACAGTTCAATTTCGGTGGCCAAAAACTTTACAAGTCAATCATGCATAATTTATTCAATTCAAAACTCTCCTGTAATATTCAGATTTGACATTTTATGTTCATTTAAACTAATTGTTTTTATAGGTATTGACATTTTATGTTCTTTTTGTATTTGTGAAACTTGACTCTTAAGAAAAAAATTTTGTTGGTCCTTTCCTTTTCATAGCTTTTTCGTCTAAAATCCAAGATCTGTAAGTCTATGTCTAATTTATTTTTGTAGTATCCGTCTAATTTGCTTATCGTCTAATTTCCTAGGCCGCAAATCAAAAACATCTAATACCGTATTTTCTCAAAAGCCATCACCTCCAATTAGGAGGCCCTCAATTTAGAGAAGCATTGTTTCAAGAAATTAAAAGATGTCCTCAAATAAAAGCCGCAATTTTACAGGTGCATACCCACGGAGCCGCTTTCCCGGATAGTCGAAAATTTTGAGACGCATTCTGATTGGACAAAATGCGCAGCCTGTTACAGCTAACAAAATTCCGAACATTTTTAAGAGATTTGATTGGTTAATACTTTTGCTCTCATTGAATTAATTAATAGCAAAAGTCCGACTACTACAGGGATTTGAACCCCTCAACAACCAAAGGGTCCCTCTTTGGTATGTTTTATGATATCCATTTTCGGCCGAGAAACCCTAAAATTTTTCAGTATATGCTAATTTTAAAGGGGAGCACGCGCTGAAAAACGGAATTTTTTGGTCAAAATTTTTTCAAAAAATCCCAAAAACGGGGGGGCATGGTGGGGGTAAATGTGGGTAGTCAGAGGAAGTAATTGGGAGGGGGAAGGGAATGGGAAGGAAGAATGATCGGACTAAGTGTGTGTGTGTGTGGGGGGGGGATGGGTAGAGAAAGGGTACCGAAACAAAGGGTAGAGAAAGGGTAATGAAAACAATGAAAACAAGGTTTTTAAGTAAGTTTGTAGAATCTCTTTCACCCCTATGCAGGGTGGCCACTTGGTTGGGAATAAAAAAGATACCTCATTCAGGGTGTCTACAGACCTTGGCAGCCGACGACCTTTTTTTTTTTAGGTCCGACCTTTTTTTTTTTTTTAGGTCCGACGACCTTTTTTTTTTTTAGGTCCGACGACCTTTTTTTTTAGGACACAAAAAAACTGGGGGAAAAGTTGAAAATTGATCGAAAATATTACGCAACAAATCCAAAAATTGTTGAGAGTCCTGGTTGCCCTGCACTTTCCCATTCACGTCTGAAAATAGATACTTACGTAAAAAAAGATACCAAATAGTGACTTTTAGATACCAGTATCTAAAAAGATACCAAGTGGCCACCCTGCCCCTATGGTACCTAGTAACGAATCTCTCCCCCTCCCCAATTAAGAAATGGGTAAGGGGGCAGAAGGGAGGTAATTGCTAAGTAGACCCAAAATTTCAGCTATCCGGGAACGAACTTATTTTTCGGCTATCCGGGAACGAATTTATTTTTCGGCTGTCCGGGAACAAATTTATTTTTCGGCTATCCGGGTATTCGGCTCCGTGACACGCCACCAATTGTACTAAAATTTTCGTTTAAAATTTATGATAATTTGAGAACCGTTCAAGATGAAAAAAATCATGTTGGAATATAGCTATATAATTTGTTGAATGCTCACCACTAGTTTGTCGGACAATCGGATTGCTTCTGTGAGCTGATTGTAGTCAGGATGCGAGTCCTAAACAAGCACAGATGCATAAGAAAGCGAATAGGAAAATAGATCTACAAGTAACAGCAATTAGGCATGAGCTTGTTGCTAATCTAATACTATAATATAATAAATCTTCGCTCTAAATTAGTTTAGACTAACGTTTTGAGAACTTCAATCAAGGCTGAAAGATCTTCAATATGTTCAATTCGACTCCCTTGATTTAATGATCGAAACAAACAATAATAATCATAATCATAATAATATAATAATAATAATAATAATAATAATAATAATAATAATAATAATAATAATAATAATCATAATAATAATAATAATAATAATAATAATAATCATAATCATAATAATAATCATAAAAATAATAATAATAAAAATAATAATAATAATAATCATAATACTAATAACAACAACCTCAATAATAATCATAATAATAAAAATCATAATAATAATAATAAAAATCATAATAATAATAATAATAATAATAAAAATAATCATAATAATAATAATAAAAATGATAATAATTACTCAGAGGCGAAAATGAGCTTCGCCCCAGTTGCGATATCACACTAACATAGCATTTCAAGCTAGCAGTCAAAAAATCAAAGTAAAGCCAGATGTCGGAAAAAATGAAAACATTTTGAAAAATTTCAACGGCCATAATTATGGAAACATATGAGGCAAAAAAAAATTTCAGCAAAAAAATCAAATAAAGAAATTTAAAAAACTGAATTAGTAAATTTAAACTTACAGGAAAAAAACCAAGATCGGAAAAGAGCAATGAACGCAAGTAAACATTAAAAAAACACTCACTTCGTGAGAGACAAAATAGTCGCCCTTTAAACTCTTTGAATTTCTAAAATGACTTATGATTGCCGCTTTGTTGATAACAATAACCCAGCTTGAGAAAACTGGACGAACAGGTAAAGTTTTTATTCCGCTGTAAATCTAAAACTTAAACTCCATTTTTGAAACTAGAAATCGTTCACAGTTTTTTGCTCCAATTCCACCTTCGTATTTGGAGAATGCTATTTACGTCACTTTTAGCATATGAATTTCAATTGAACTCAAAAAGTGCATATATACCTATCTGCATTCATAAATTCAGCAATATGTATGAATGCACATCTGTAGTTATTAGAGACTTTCGTGAAAAAAAACTAAAAAATCAGCACGACCTACATAAAAGCCTTCACTACGTTCATTACTTTAAATCACTTACAGTACAAGAAACATCCACGGTATGGCAACTAAACCGACAAAACATTAGCAGACAAACAAAAAGCAGGTCGTAACCAGATTCAAACCTAAGACGTTTCTACATGAACAAGACGTGGCCGCTTCTACATGAACAATGATTGCAACCGGTTCTTTAAATTGAACTTTTCATCTCAGATTTGATTGTGCAAATATTAGGAAAACTCAAAAAAATTCTTTAAAAAAACGGTCAAGTTCTAAAAAACGGTTAAAAGACTTTCCAAAATTGATAACTTTTTTTGCAAAAGTAGGTTGTGGCCACTTAAGCAGAGAAAATTCCAAAGACCGAGTTTCTCGATTGAGCACCTAACTTGAGAATTGACACGGTAGTTCTCGCGTAAATTCAAAAAAAAATTCAAAAACGCTCATTTTTCAACTATTTGAAGGCCATGATTTTTTCTTTAAAAAATGGGCTCATTATAAATGTAGGTCTTCTACAAGCTGTAGTTTTAATTAAAACTATGATATTAGATTTGGCAGGATAGTTCTACTCAAAATCAAACAAAGGTCAACAATTCGAAAATTGGACATTTCGAGAATCATTGCTTTTTGTGTGAGATATTAGGACATAGCCGCTTATGCAGAAGAGACACGCCACCAATAATTTCAATTGAACTCAAAATCTCAGATTTCCGAGGATTGTTCTCGAGAAAAGAAAAAAACAGTCAGAAGTTCAAAATTTTGACTTTTCCGAGGGACATAACTTTGGTGTCAAAAAATTGAGCGTAGTCACATAAGCAAAAAAAAGCTTCCCACAACCCATTCTTTGAATTGAACCTATAATCTCAGATATGACGATGTAGTTTTTGAGCAATGAGAAAAGTCAGAAAAAAATTAAAAAAACGGTTAAAAAAATCGAAAACTTGACTTTTCCGAGGGCGATAACTTTTTGTGCGAAGACCATTGTCAGTATCCGCTAAAACAGGGTAGCTTTTCACTACCCTTCATCTCCATTGAACCCACGACATCAGATTTGAGAGCTTCGTTTTCCAGAATATTCACAAAACGATTAAATGTTTAAAAAATTTGGGCGAATGCAGGGGAGCTTTTCAAAACCGTTCTATTCATTGCAACCAAAAACTCAGAATGGAGGGGTAGTTTTTGAAAAACGAAATAAAAAACACTGGTCAAATATTCTACCCACAGACTTTTTCGAAGGCTTTAGATAGAGGGGTAAAGTAAAAAGAGACTAAGGGAGTATGCAGGCACACAGTAGAAAAAGCGTTTTTGCGTTGTTAACCTTTTTGAAAATCAGTAAAATTTCATAGAAAAAAAAATTTTGCTAAAAAATGAAAACATTTCCAGAAACAGAAAACTGCGGAGTGGAGTGCTCTAAGATTTTGCTTGAAACAACCAAAAATTCGGCCACTACGCTAAGAACTAGGCCAAAATAAATTGGGCCGAAAAAAATTTTTAAGCGAAAAAAAAACGAAGGAAATACTAAATGTAGGAGTAAATCAAACACTCAAAGCAACATAAAAGAAAAATTCGAGCAGCAAAAAACGACGCCAAGATGTGACAACTAAGCCGAAAACAGACAAAGAATTGACCTACACTATTATTTGAAACAGAATAATTTCCGCTTGAAAAAAAAGGTCCTGGTCAGATTCAAACCCAGGACTATTGCCGTTCCAGGCATATTTGTTACCTCCAGGATAAAATGACCGGGAACGCTAAAAAATTTGAATAGATAATGAAACAAAATACCACAAGAGATTGAAATTTTAAAACGTTCCTTCACTCTCTCAACACGCACATGCATCGAAAACTTTCATTCATCAAATAACACAAAATGAATCAAATGAGCCGATATACTGGAATTCAAAACCTTTCAAACACAAAAGAGCTAGAAAAAGAGATCAAAAAGTAAATTAGATCAAATCGGAGTTGGCAATATTAAGCAATATTGAAAAAAAAATCAAAAACAACTGGAAATTAAAACGCAGACATGCTTAAAACATGTCTGTTGGTTGACGAAATGGAAGAGTTGACATAAGTTTATCTAGTATGAACTGGTTCAGTGATTTTCTCGCAAGCGTAATCACTTGTCTAATCAGAGAAAACTGTGCTAAAAGTATATTTTTATTCCGCCGGGAAAATAAAGACCATTTTTGAAAATAAAGTAGTTTGCGTTTTTGTTATTAAAGAGCTTAATTAGCTTTCACTTAAGGAAGTGGATTGAAATTGAACTAGAAAAAATTCAAACCGCAAAAAAAATCTAAGCATGAACAAGACTTTTTCCTTTAAAAAATTGACACGACCTTGATAGTGATAGACTCTTCGTTTATTGACACAAAAAAATGTAACCTACCTTATGATAACAGATTTATGTTAGTCATCTACAAATTAATGATGGCACGACTACATCGGTAAATTAAAGGACAGGCATAAACTGAACTGAGTAAGAAAAAAAGCATAATAGTAGCAGTGGAAGCGAAGCGTTAATAGTTAAGTTCCGCCGCTACAGAGGGAAATGAAAAAAATACAGATAAATTCAACCAATAGATGCATTGAGAGGAAACAGATCAAATCAAGGTTAATGGAGTATGGGAAGCTCCTTCGGAAGAAGTCGGGCGGGCTATCTTCTTTCTCCCATTCATTTAAACATAGCCAACAGACAGTTAGAAAAGAGTCATGCACGCAAAGAAACTAGACAAAATACTGAATCAGTTTTTGATAAAACTTTCGAGTTTGAAAAAATACTGAATCAGTTTTTGATAAAACTTTCGAGTTTGAAAATTTAAAAAAAAAAGATGGCCTTAAAGCTCTTTAAATTTCAAGAGCAATTTATGATTGACACATTTGTGCTCAAATTAACCCAATTTGAGAAACTGGGTCAATAAGTAAATTTTATTGCTAAAAGTCGATCACGTTTTTCGTGACCTTTAGGCTTTTGCTGTTCGATTGAAGAGTTTGCCTTCCTTTCATTTAAAAAAAATTAAAAAAATCATCAAGACCTATATAAGAGTATTCACTAGGTTCATGGCTCTGAATATAGTGGATACTATTTAATAACAAACACTATGCTCAATGCAGAGCAGACGGCCACACAACAAGCCGATGACAGCTGATAACTTGAACACTTCGTTGTTTCTTAATAAGCAAGAAATAACCAGGAAAAAAGCTAAAACAAATAAGCATTAGGCTGACCCGGTTAGCCTTAAACATTTTATTTCAATTACCATCATTTTCATATCAAGTGCACATAAATTGCGTTGAAAAGTTAAGTCAATTTTTGGTACAATTTTATTAGTATAAATTTGATTTTTTTAAAAAGCAAACAGTTACTGTGTACGTGGCCGAAATTTTCCGGACACAGTAATCAATGCAAAAACTGACAGAGGATCCATCAACGGAAACAATCTCAAATCAATTTTTTTCAGAACGCAATTTTTAGTCATTTTGTTGGGTGGTTAAACTAAAGCAATAAATAGCAAATAGTTCTTCTGATCAGCCCCAATCAGATGGGACATTCATAGAGTAGTTTCAGATAAAGCACCTTGGTCCGTTTGCCACGCTTTCTATATTTGACCGGATGCGATCGTGCAACTTTGGTCTAATACTTGTCGTGGTTCCTGGTCTCAATAGATCTGTAGAAAACTTTGGCTAAAGCGAGATTTTTTGAAACCACCTTTACTACAGGTATACTAAAAAAGTGTCTGATCAGTCAAACTGAATAAACAGATAGGTGTACAATAGTAAACAACGAATCATGATCATGATTGGAGAGAATTAAATATTTTGATTCAAAAATT